GGCCCTGGGCGCCGCTGCGGGGTGCATGGAGGCACCCCCCGTCCGCAGAGAGGTACCGGGCGGGGGGCCCTGTCAGTCAGGGCTCCCCTGAGGGGGCTGCGGTGGCCCAGGCCGTGCTGTGGCGATAACCGCCTTTCCCCTCCCGTTATCCCCCCTGTGGTTTTGCAGGTGTGAATCCCCCGGAGGACAGCGCGCCTGCTCTGCTTGGCCCCACAAGGCGAGCGGCCCCGGGTCGCCCTCGCCGGCCTCGGCCGGGCTGCAGGAGGAACAAGGAGGGGGTTTGGGACCTTAAAAATAGCATCGCCCCCATAACCAGGCAGCTGCTGCCTCCTGAGAAATGAAGAAGTTTTTTGACTCGCGTCGGGAGCAGGGTGGCTCTGGCCCTGGATCGGGCACCAGTGGCGGTGGCGGCGGCAGCGGTGGCCCGGGCAGTGGGTACATCGGCAGGGTGTTCAGCATCGGCCGGTACCAGGTGACGGTGGACGAGGTGCTGGCGGAAGGTAAGACCCCAGTGCCTTTTGCAGAGCGCTCTGCCTTTGCTTCTTTTCCCTCCCCCTTTCCCTCACAAAGCTGGAAAGGGAGGCTTTGGCCTTTCCCGTGCACTCCGCCTCCCCCTCTATCCCTAGCTTCCCTAATATTTCATTGTCCTTGACAGACTTGCAATCCAATGGCATCTGCAAGCTGACATTGCTGGTCTTCCCATGTGTAAACCCAGTGTGGGTTTGCTGGATTTGGTTTGGTTTGGGTTTTTTTTTTTTTAAAAATGCTTTAGAAATTGAGGGGATTTCAGGAGTTAATTGTTTCCCACCTTCCCTAAACTGGGAGTTTAAAAAAAAAACAAAACAAAACCAAAATTGCCAAATGTTTTGGTGCAGAACAAGGTGCTGTAAATGAAGAAAGCAGTGGTCTTCTCTCTAACTTTCTTCAGACAGTTGCCTCTTTTTCTACCTTAAGCAGAGAGGAATAAAGCACAGGAGTAAATTCCTTGTAGATATGTCATGCGCACAGGTAGGCTGAGTGGAGCTAGCTGTGGTCTGGGATGAGGGATTTCTGTTTGTGTGGGGTTTCTGCAGGGGAAGCGGTAGTCCCAATTGCATTTTTTTTCAAAATAAAGCAATGAAAAAACTAAAAATGAACAGTAGGCGTTATAAAACTCTATGTGTACAGTCCTTGCAGTGCAGCAAGCTACTGGTGGTATTTTTTTAATTGTAACCAGCACTACTGCTTTAACTATCATTTTACATTTCATTTGTTTGGGCTATAAGGAACCTTATGAATGGCTCTGGCTGGTAACCTTAGCCTCGACCTTCAGAAAGATGTTGGCCTCCTTAGACCTGCTCCTGGTCTGTCTCCTGCGCAGCATCCTTTGCGATTTCAGTCAAAACAGTAATTGCGAAGGAGAGTGTAGCTGCTGTATGAGAGCTGAGTGGGAGGACCTGTGTTGGCTTTTACAGAAAGAACCCTAAAATGGAAAAGGGACTCTGTGTATGCTGTGGTTTGTAAAAAGTCACCGCAGTGTACGAGAAAATAGATCTGTGGTCATCTTTCAGACATGGTTTCTGATAATGTTCTGCTGCATGCTGAGCTGAGAGGAGCACCAAAACCAGTCCTTCAACTAGTAACTATAGTGATTTTTTTTTTTTCTGGACTTGAAATTTACAATATAGGTTTGCCTTGGCTGATATTTCCAAGGTCCTTTTGGACCTAGGAGCTTAAGAACTATATGAGCTAAACCTGAGAAGCTGTCACAGTCTTTTTTTTAATGCAAGCTGGCCTCATCCTGGTAACATGGGAAAACAAGCTTTTTTTGCTGGTGAATAATCTGTTGGCAGGTTCTGTCCCGGTGCTGACAGCACCAGGAAGCGAGCCTGTGTGTCACTGGGCTCTCTCCTGCTCGGCAGGCCTAAGCTACAGCCACCAAAGGTGTGAGGTGGTAGCATGGATTGCGCGGGAGAAGTGCCTTCCCTCTGTACCTCGCTGTCCTGGAGGAACTGCTGCTTGTGAGGGCTTTTCCCTGTGACTCCTGGTTTCTTGGCTGGCCTCTGGGATGGAGCATGGCCTAGCGTTGGCTGCAACTCTTAGATCTGCACACACAGGCCAAGCGAGGTGCAGCAGGCCTGTAAAATAGGTGCTATGTTCTCTTCCTGACCACGCTATAAAGCAAAGGAAGTTCTTTTGGTGAAACGTGCTACGCAGGTATTTTCCTCACAGTTAGACTCCTGGTGCGGGCAGTCCGAAATCCCTCTGCGGTGGTGAGTGAAGTCTCCAAGAGGACAAGAGCAAGGTGGCTTGTAGGTTTGCAGGTTGTCGCCTTTTGATGGGAACAGATGGGTGAAAATGCCATTTTGTTTATAGGAAAGGTAGGTCATCTGGGGAGTCAGCGTGGGTCAGAAGTGCTGCAGCTTTGCATACTTCTGGCCTTCTGGTGTAGCTGCGTGTGCTCCCCAAGTGCTGGTAAAACAGCATTTTTTTCACTGACTCAGCTGGAGACCTGGGGAGCTCTCGGCAACCTGGTCCCTGCACTACTGACGTCTGATTCCTCGGCTGGAAAACTTTTTTGTATCTGCAGTGAATTTTGGTGGTTCAGCAGCATTGAAAAGGCAACTTGTGAAGTCTTGGCTATTTCTGCCAAAAGGAAAAGTCCCCTGGGAAGCACTTTGTAGGAGGGGTATCCTGTCTGGGAAAGAAATATCTCTCATCCCTGTTGCTTTAGAAGGGAGACGAGAGGCCTGTGTTCTGGCGCAGCATGTGAAGCCTAGAAAATAAATGAGATGTAAAAGTGGCTTAAAAGAAAGAGTCTCTGAAATTATGATGGATGGTGTGGGGGAGACTTGAGTTGCAAGCCAGAGGAACTGGTTGAACCAGAACTTTTGGAATCAAAGTGTTGGGATTTACCTCTATCTGTCAAAGCTGTGACTGGTCACCCTCAATTCTGCTGAGCAACCCTGCTGAAGATGACTGTTCCCTGGCCCAGGATGGGAGTCCTTAATGCAGACACTGTGAAGCGTGCCAGATGGCAGATGTCTCCATGTGCTCTCAGTCTCTTGCGTAGATCCCCCAAAATATCTGCTGCGGTTAGGTACACCCCTCACCCCCTTAAAATAGTTGTCTTGATACCTGCTTTCCTGGGCGGGGGGGGAACATTCCTTCCTTTTGGAAGGAAGTAGATGGGAATAATGTAGAAGGAACTTGAGTGGTTGGTTGTCTGTGGTGTTATAATACCGGCGAATCAGTATTTTTTTTTACAAACAGTATATTGCAATAGGTGATTCTTAGTTGAGTCTTTGTATTTGTCTTGCTCTAATCCACATAATAGCGCGAATAATCTCTTGAAAAATTCCCCTCAAAGTTTGCATGAGGATTAACTGCTGTGGGAGGTCAGCACTGCTGGCCTTGGAGTTCTGCGAGGTCAGCACTGCTGGCCTTGGAGTTCTGCAAGGCCAGGAGGGTTAAAGTCGGCGGCATCAGTGTAGTGCTCCAGTATGGGTTGAGGGGGGTTGTTACTGACTTTAAGGTGACTGGTGTTTCACGGAGCTGAGGTGAATGCCCAAGAGGCATTTGAGTGTGTGGGTGAGTCAGGCTACTATCTTACTGTTTTGTTTATGAAAAGAAACCAAAACAGTGTGATCAAATTCGATGCTGCTTTTTGTTTCTGCCTGTGTGTAGGTAGGGGGGAAAAAAACCCCCAGCAACCCACTCCAAAAACCCACACTGGAGCTATAAGGAGGACGGTGCCTCTGTGATGAGGACCAGAGCAGCAGAAACATTTAGAAGGATGTTGCCAGAAATCAGAAATTTGCTAAGGAGTTTGTGGGATGTGCATGCGTGGCAGAGTACCACAAGCCACACGTACTCCTCCGAGCTAAAACAAACAAGGTGGGGATTGCCCCAGTGTCCAGTTTTCAGGGGGCTATGTTTTGTGTTACTCTGTGTACCTGCAAGATTGTAAGAGAGTGCTGAATTGATCCAAGGTACGTAAGCGTTGATGGGTGCGTGTTCGAGCTAGGATTTTGTTTGTCTTGGTCTGCTTCTAGCAAAAGATACAGGCTGTGTTTCTTCAGGTCTGTGAAAAGTCACTTTTTCAATTAGTAATATCTTTCTGCAGTTTTTTCCCCTTAAAATGTGTAAGTTGAGGGATTCAGGTTTAATAATTGTCAGGTATTTCACTGAAGTTTTTTCAGATACATGCCTCTGTGTGTGCTGCTAGCTAATGTATATTTCAAAGCATTTAATGGTAGACATTATAAACCAATGCAAAATCAGCTTAAATTTGCCAGCTATATTTTTTTTAACTCCGTTTTGAAAAAAACGGACATTGTGAGGTTTCGTCATGGTTTTCTTTAGCAGACCTGCAGGCCAATGTGTGTATGAAGAGCTTGGTAAGGCTGTGAATGCACAGCCTGTGCCCAATGGGGGAAGGTGGCCCCCCTGAGCTGCCTAAAGCTGTGGTTGGGCTAAATGCAGAGGACTTCTGCTGACCCCTGCCTGGCTTACCCCCAACACTCCCTTTCCCTGGAGCATGCAGCACTCTAACCTGAAGTCACTATAATCCATTATAATTATACGTGAGCTGCTTCTGAAATTACTTCTCTTCAAAACAAACCCCATCTGAGGTAAATTTTGCAGATTTACATGATCCTCAACCCAATTCCAGTGTGCTTGGGTTCAAGACATCACTTTGAAGTGTATTTTGTCAGTTATTGCCTTCTAGCTGCTGCTAATCAGCTGACCAGTGACATTTGGATTAGGTATTAAACTATTTCTCCTCTTGGAATGGGACATGTGATTTTAATTTTTTTCCCCCCATTGCTTTTCCTGTGTACCTTGTGAGGCAAGGCATGTATACTGCGCTCTGTGCTGCTAGGTAGGATATTAGCTCCTTCATGTTTTAGCAGTCTGGGTTTTTTGAGTGTACAAGCCAGGCAAACTGGTGAAGAATCCCAAGTGAATTATTGGGTAAATGTCAAGGTATCCCAAGTGCTTTGGTGCTTTCAGCAGCACAGATTTTGCTGGGGCAGAGCGTGTGCCATGTCCCTGGATGTAATCAGGAAGCAAAGGAAGGTGTGAGTGGATTTAACTGTGTAAGAAGTTGTGTAGCCCAGAGACTCGCATTATCTAGCCTCACTTGTAAGTTTTATGCAACATGCCAGAGAATGGGTCTGGGATTGTACACGGGAGTGGCTAGTTTCTTACGTAACAGCTATATTAGCCAAAAGCATATTTAATGGCAATGTTAGCCCAGTGCAGTCGTGGGAGGATGAGTTTTCTGCAGTCCTCCCAGGAAAGAGCCTTCCATGTTAGAACAAAATAGTTTCTAATTCAAGCAGTCCTGCCATGGCCTTATGAAGCTGTCAATGACTTAGTAGAAGAAAGCTTAGTTTTGGGATTCTGGCTGGGGAGAATACAGGGTTTAACTATCCAGCACGGGTCTTGCGGAAGTGTTCTAGTAGTTATAGATGAACAGGTTACTAACCTCTGGTTGCGACACTAGCAATGACAT